CACATTAAGGGGTTTCAGAATTAAAAAAAAATAGCGTATTTCAGAAATAAGTAAGAGTTTAAAAAATCTTATTTGTGTATCAAAATTTTGAAATCGGAAAATGAAATGGGAGTGTTTAGAGACTCCTATTTGACGAAATAAGTAAAAATTTTTTATTATGCAGATCAAAGAACAATTTAATGATAACAATACAGAGTAAATAATAAAACTTTGCTCAAATTACTTACTGAACCTTTGCTCAAATTATATAACTTACTGAACCTTTACTCAAATTATTGAACCTTCGTTCAAATTACTTAACCTTTGTTCGAAATTACTTACTGAACTTTTGTTAAATTACTTACTAAACCTTCGCTCAAAATTGTTTTTTTATATAACTTATTAAACCTTCGCTCAAATTATTTACTGAACCTTCGATCAACTTACTTATTAAACCTTCACTCAAATTATTATTTTTTTTTATAACTTACTAAACTTTCGCTTAAATTGCTTATTAAACCTCTCTCAAATTATTTTTTTCATATATCTTTGCTGAGCCTTTACTCAAATTACTTACTGAACCTTCGCTCAAATTATTTTTTATATAATTTACTAAACCTTAAATTATTTTTTATATAACTTATTGAACTTTCGCCTAAATTATTTCTTATATAATATATTTAACCTTCATTTATAGTAAATTTAGTATCTTTTAGCAATTTACTATTCAAGTACTACATCAGTTCTATCAAGAAACCCAATACAACCTTTAAATCTAGATAATTGCTCTATTCTACTACTAATTTGCTGTAGCTCAATTAAATTAATAGCCGTTACTATATGTTTTGTATACTCAACCATGTCTAGCAAATCATCCTACAGAAGCACTATTTCCATTACAATCTAAGCATTCTAAAGTTCCTGCCAAAAGTTGCTAAACTGGTCTTTGTAAATATTTTAATCTATAACCAGAACGCCTCTTTACTGACTCTAGTAATTTGCTTAAATTTATAATCATTATACGTAATTAGGCCAAAGAACTTGAAAAAAATCATTAGATTTAATTGTTCTTTCATGTATAGTAAGATATCAATCCAGTTCTATAGCTTGTATTAATTCAAATAGTCGACAATTTCTTTATCCAGAACTTTGTAATACCTTATTCGTGCTAGTTGAGTACTTATTCATAAATGATTATTTATTTATTTGTTTAATTTGACGTTGTTGATGTGAAATTTTAGGCATGTTAAGTATAAAAAGATATTAGAAGTGATTAATATGTAAAAATATTTAATCACATAAATAAGTGTATTCAAATTTTATTAAAAAAATAAATAGCATCATTTATTTGAAAATAAACACGTCCTCTTATTTTATCAAAATAAGATTTATGAAACTTTGAAATTTATTATTATGTATTTGAGAGAGAAAATACGAAGCTGAAGAAGGCTAGGTTATAAAGTTTTTATAGATGAAAAATATACAAAAATAATGCAATTTATATATATATGTCTGTTTGCAAGTTTTGCATAATATAAATAGTTAACTTAAGAATTTTAGAATATAAAATTTATAATTATTAATAAAATAGTCCTATTTTTTAAATAAAACTTAATCGTCTATTTGGAAATTAACAATTTCTGTGCTGTTTATCGAGAGGGTCGAGCGAATTACTTTTCTGCTATAGAGTCGGTTCACTTGTTCAGTATCCATCACTTTTTTGCCATAGAGATTGATAATTTGTTTAGTGTTCATTAATCTGTTAGAATGTTTTTAATAATTTCGTCAGCATTCAAAAACTGCTCTGCAATTTTTATTGAATCATTCCAATTATTTATTTTCTTTAAAATATCATTAGCGTCAGGTCATTTTGATAGATCATAATCTATACATTGTTTGGATAATTCAATGTAGAAAACAGGGGTGCCTGGTGCGAATTCCGGTCTCAACACTATCCAGATATTAAATGCAAGTGATTCATCAAATATTTGAGTTGCACCTCTGTCATGATGACTCCGAAACTGTAAATATTGGCTGTTTGCGTGAATGCTTCACGGCACAAAATCTCTGAAGTGATGTAAGGCAGGACACCAAAAATTTCTAAAACTCCTTTACTTGCTTCATTTGTTGTAATTGTTAAAATGATAAATCTGCAATATATACACTATCCATATCATCTACTATGTAAATCTTTATGAATATATCCTTGGAGATGAAATGTTTTGAAACCGGAAATTATACAATATAATAATTTTAATTTTTTCTTCCATATCATATGTGACATGTCGTAAAGATTTTAGTTAAGGAACCCAATTTCGCATGTTGTAATACAATGATATAATAATCAGAATTAATTTCTTTCGATATTCTATAACATTTTAAAATCAAGAGATTTTCACAACTGATTTCGCTATAAGCTTTTAACTTAAAACAAAAAATTATTAATACAAAGTAAAAAAGATATTATAAAACAATTAAAAATACCTCATTGATAAACTCCTTAAGATAAGCATCGGGAATTGTGAATTAATTTTAATACTACGTTTTCTTTCTCTAAGCTATGATGTATTGAGAATAGTTGAAAAACCACCTTTTGCTATTTCTGTGAGATTTTTAAATTTATTGAAGGGAATCTATAAAAATCTAAAATTACTTTGAATACTATCAAGAATAAAATTATTTAAGATATTGAAAACTAAATTGGCTTCTGGACGTTTAGTAGGCTCCATGTCCCAACAACTTGTATAGAGATATCTGGTGTACCATATACAGTTTCTTCTCTATTTCCTTGAAGTATGTGAAAACAAAGGGCTATGACCGTTTCAAAGCCTTGGTAAGGTGGTCTTCCACTCAAATTTCCTAGAGGATTGCTCCAAAGCTATAGATATCTGATTTTTTACACATTTACATTTAGGACTCATAAGACATTGAGGTTCTATATATGCTGGCATTCTGTTTATAGCAGAATTTGATGATATTGATATATCTACTTGTCCTGATAATCCAAAATCAGTAATTTTTGGTCTCTTTTGATGAATTAAAATATTCTTTGAATGCTAAAATATAAATAAAATATATCATATTTATAAATACGATAAAAATTAGTAAATTAAACTATATCATGAATACTCTAAACAGTACTTACAAAGTCTCTATAAATAATATTATTCGCATGTGAGAAACTAAGTTCGTTTGCTATTTCTTTAGCAATATGTAATTTATTTATCCATCGTAGTTTGGTAAAATTTATTTGCAAATATTCCCGTAAATTCCCTTCATCAGCATAATGTAATATCATATAGTAAACACCAATGCTATCTATTTTATATATAATAAAAATTATTAAATAAGTTCTATAATTACATATAATGCCTTAACTCATTGTAATTATAATGATTATGGCAAAAATGTAGTATTTCCATTTGACAAAACTAAAATTCTGTGGTCAAAATTTTTTTGTTTATTTGACAAATTTCAGTTTCTAAATTCAAAATGACTTTACAGAGAAAAAATTGGTTATGTAGCTACACAATTTTACATTACAATAACTCATAATAACAAATTGTGGCTTATTCTGAAACTCTAATAATACCTTCCGTAACTCCATAAAACGTAATGAAATTTCGATAAGAGTTAACTTTTTGTAATAAATAAAACTATAAGTAGATAAAAATATGCTTTATATAATAAAATATGGATTTTATCTTATCTCTTCCAATAAGTTCATCGAATTGTGAGGTTTATGTAATGTTTTAAAATTAATTGTATATAGTGAAGTACGTGATTGTTTGTATTTATCCTGCTCTTTAGAAATTTTTCGTATGCTATTTAGCCAAGTTGCTAAAAATTCATCACCGTTTTCTTGAATATTACCTAATCTACTAAAAGGAATCCATTCAATTATATCCTCATATTCTGTTGATTCAATTTGAAATTCTTTAATGCAATCATCAATAACTTTATTTCCGCTTGTCCACTCTTGAGCTGTTCTCTGAGAGTCACATGTTTGATACCAGGCTAGTGATGTGTTATATCGGTTACAATGTGCACACTTTCTATTCTGAGAATTTTTTTTAGAATAAAATTTATCAAATATTAACATATATTCATTTGTGGCTGTGTTTTGAGTTAGTCCATATACTTTAAGTTTACCATTCTTTATGCATTTTTTAAACTATTAAAATATAAATAAAACTATAAGTACATAAAAATACGCTTCATATAATAACATATGGATTTTATCTTACTTCTTCCAATAAGTCCATCAAATTATGAGGTTTATATAATGTTTTAAGGTCAATTGTACATGGTGACGTACGTGATCATGTGTATAAAAAACTGATCTCTTCATGTTTGGATTCAGATACTTTAAACAGACCAAGTATTGAAGTTATTGAAAAAGGTTTAAAGCAAATGATTTGTGAAAGTGGAATGAATGAAATAATCTACCCCAATATCCGAAAAGTGTTCGTATGCCATCTAGCCAAGTTTCTAAAAATTCATTACCGTTTTCTTGAATATTATCTAATTTATTAAATGGGATCCATTCAATCACATTTTCATATTCTGTTGTATTAAGTTGAAATTCTTTAATGCAATTATCAACAGTCTTATTTCCACTTGTCCATCCTTCAGTTGTTATCTGGGGGTCACATGTCTGGCACCAAGCTGGTAATGTATTATATTTGTTATACAATACGCATTTTCCCTACCAACTCTCTCTTTTAAAATTAAGTTTTGATATAATGCGTTATGAGATAAAGATAGTTTAACGAGCGTGCAGTCTCCGCATCACTAGTTATAATATGCTACATTACACGAATACTATTTTGGCTAAAGTGGACTAATTAGTTTCGATGCGAAAAATCCTATTAATCACGAAAAGCATTGCACGCATGTTTCTTATATTGGAATGATTGGTCTGATATGCCAGAGTTGAATTGTACTTGATGAATGCAGATTATATCGATCAGGAGAAATGTACTTAATTTTTGTGTAACATATTTTACTATAAGATCGACATGCGACATTTTCACTCTTTTCTAATAGAATTAAACAAAATTAATTTTTGTCTCAAAGTTAGTTTCATAAAGGCATAACCTATTGTATCTTTGTATTATAATCTTTATTACTCTAAAGGTTTCTATTTTTTTAATGAAAAGCATATTAATCTTAAAAAGTCAAACCCTGAAAAAGATCTTGAACCTAAGTAAAACTTGCCAGGATGTATGTGTATACCACTACTGGCTAAATTGGTACAGTACAACTAATAGAAAACTCAAAGCAAAGAGGTAAATATCGCAATAACAAAGATAATTGAAAACTATTAAAAATAATAAAAACAATAATTGAGAAATTAAACTTATTTATTTATGTTATATGATTAATTCTAGATAAGCAGTCAAATGAAGACTTCTTACTTGGAATGAATTTGATTTGAGTGACCCTGATAGTGATTACAATAAACTTGATGATGATAGTCTGAGTTCTGCTACAGCAACAGAAAATCTTGTAATTAAGAATACAGTAAATAATATTAGCGAAATTAGTAATGTTAATGCTATTGAGATTGATAATGTAAGTGAGAACAATGAAATGGAACCATTATTTGTGTGGGATGAATCAGCTTTTGTAAAAGCAAAAACATTAGCAGATGAAAAAGAATGTAACTATGATGACAAAATTGAGTGGGAGGATTTGGATTATGAATCTTCAGAAATAGCTTTATCAACAATAAAGTTAACAGAAAGTTTAAATTATCTTCTTGAAAGTAATTGTGAAAAAAAATAAATTAACACTATGTGTTTTTTTATATATGGTTAATAGTCAAATACAACAATGTTCAAATTACAAACAAAAAACTCAATGACCTTTAGCATAGTTAATTGGTATATGGGAGATTGATGGTGAGACATTTAAATCTATAGAAAATGATCAATTATATACTTTAGTTGTTTGTGGATCGCACTTTGGTTTTGATCAAAATAACCTTCACAATTCAATTCTTAAAAATTCACAAACTTGAAAAAGTTGGGTATATTAACATTGGTGTTTATTCTGCAATAAAGATAAATATTTTTTTTGCTGTGGTGTTAGCTGTATTCAACATTCTGTATACATAGCAGGATGTGTTGTACAGGTACCTTGTTTAGGTCTCAAAATATGTCCAGTGCTTTCTGAAAAGCATCTTAAAATTGTTGAAAATAATAATCCAAACAAAAAAAATAATAATAGAAATAGCAAACATCTTCCACGATATATTTGCACACAATATTTTGCTACACAAAGTAGTTATTTGTATAGATGCCAAGGTAGTAGAAATCAACCTTTTTCATATAAAGACAAACATGAAGATGATACAACACAAGTGCTTGAACTTTTAGGATGATGGATTCTAAATGTAGTGATATCAGACAATTCTGAACATAAAGAACAATTATTGATATATCTTAATTTGATATTATTTTTTTTTGATAAAACCAAATAATATACTTCAGACCCACCTAGTCTTTTATATATAAAAATGACTCTTTGTTTTGAACAAGGTAACCTTACAAAAATAATGAAAAATGATTGTGATTTTATACCTAAAGTTTCAAAAAAGGCTAGAGAAACTTTGAGAATTATTACATAGACATGAAGTGTATCAGAATAAGGAAATTTTTGAAATTCTGAATTCCTTAACTGAATATCAATCTGCTTTTCTGGCCTGTCTTTTAGGATTTTTTAATGGTCTCATTATGATATTAAAAAAATATATATATAATATCATAAATAAAAAACAAAAAACAAAGAGAATTGAAAGTTAAACTATTTGATTAAGTTAGAATAAAAAAAATTTTAGTGTTTTTTATATTAGTAATTCTCACTATTGCTTTTCCAGCTACCAATATCTGGCTTACACATGTAATAAGCTCTTTGGCATGCAAATCAAAATTGTTAACATCACTGTATAGTATTTTATACACAGCAAATTTATTATCACATACTTAGTAATATGAAAAATGGTTAGAAAAGAATAGAATAATTAAAGCAAACCTGAATTAAAGATTAATAAAAGGCAAGAATGTTTGGAATATGTCAGTTATTGACAATATTGATTTTAAAAAAAGTATATTTAAATATATAATATTTTTGATAATACTCATAGTACTTCACATGCTACTTTATGATTAGCTTTCCAGTTTACTTTACCAAT